TACCCAAGACTTTAGGGCACGGCATACTTCGCGGTAGCCCACACCGACGAAGAGGTTTTTCTTTGGGAACCCTAACCGGAGCCTTTGACTCAAGAGTCTGACCCGCAAGGCAGCGGGAATTTGAGGGTTTTTCTTTGGGAACCCTGACCGGAGCCTTTGAATCAAGAGTCTGACCCACAAGGCAGTGGGGCGTAAATCCAACGCGGAAACGAAGCACCCGTGTGGGAGCTTCTGGAGACCTGTCATGCAAAACCTTTGAATTTTCGATTAACTCGGTTCAGCGTGTTGTTCGCTGGTGCGTTGATTATCGGTCCGCTTTTCGGGATCAGCCCTCAGCCTCGTGCGTTGATTATCGGTCCGCTTTTCGGGATCAGCCCTTAGCCTCATGCACTCAATGAGAGGCAGAACGTGGACGGGACAGTACCTTTATTGGCTGGGGGCTGCCCAGCTTAGGCGGGCGGTAGCTGTCCAATGAAGTGCGAAGACTTATCCCGCCGTCGAGAGGAAGCCCCAGGTACCCCGCTCCTATCATGATACAACAATCTTTATCGGAAACCAATCAGTTAATGATTTTCTCGTGGGCGCATTACCTCCAGGCCAAAGCAGGTGAATTTTCTCGAGGAATCCACAGCGAGAACCTTCGGTTAGCCAAAACCCGACCCGCAAAGTAGCTGGGTAATGAGTGAAAACCGCTATCTATTGGTGGCCGATGTTCAGTTAATCGGATCACACGTCCGAGAAGCTCAATAAAACTCGATGCCCACGACCAGGATTGAACGTTCCTATTGTAATTACGCACCCATTCTACCCCTCACAGAGAGAGAGAGGACATGTGTATTACACTCCTGGTGTGGGTCTCACCTCTTAATTCAGCTACCGCATTTTGGTATTTTGGTAGTCGATGTGGGTGTATGTGAAGACCAACAAAGAGCACTGAACTCTGTTTCGTCTTTATTGGGAATCTTTCGCAGTGCGCACTATTTTCGTGCTCTAGGGGGAGGGAGAGGGACGCCTGGAAAGCCGAAATGTAGCGAATAACTGAGCCCATGAGGAGTCAGACCCAGAATAGGAATAAAACATACGGAGAGGAATTTATATGGGAATAAAATAAGGACATGTTAAATCAAAATGACCATTTTTTAATACACACAGTAGACGGGAAAAGCCCCATAGTCACGAGGAACTGCTTTTCAGTGATTGAATCCGATGACCTTAAACACCAGGACTTGGAGTGGCGAACCACATAAGGCCCCGCTAGGTTAGATAGGTTATTAAACCGGACGACAGAAAAGCTACCTACCACCAAAGTTGGGTGGCGGTGCTCGAGCTTCGGACGATAGGGTCCAAAGTAAGCCGGGGACAGCGGCCAACACACTGCGTCACCACCATCGGAAAAGTGAAAGTGTTGTCCGTTGGCCTCAGTTGAGGGTTTTAATTCCTAACCAGAAATTTCTGGGCTCGAGTCTTGCTAGGGATACGAAAATGGTACGAACTACCGAGGAATGGTAACAAAGAGGAAACAATTGTTCTTTTTTTGGCTTTCGCACAAAATTCAACAATAACCGTAATACTGCGTCTACTATTTTAATCGGTGCATTAAATCAATGTTTCGTCACATCTAGAAGACAGGTCAACAAAATGTTTGCGAGGCTATATGGTCAGTAAGAGAAGTGGTTGGGAAACGAGAATCACATACCCGAGGCAAAATGTTCATGCCACGAGGAAAGCCAAGTGTGAAGACGGTTGGCTGGACTATTAGCTCCAGTCTGACCAATCAAAGCACGCAACGAAGTCGGTCGATATTTGTCAACCCAAAGTTCACGACCGGTAGGCAAAGCGGAAAAGTCAATATCTCGGACGCTTGGAACAGGTTGTAATCGATCCGATTGACTAGATTTAGTTACAACCGGTTTGGCCGTCAGAGATTTTCCCGGAGNTTTCTTACTGGGTGTTAGCTTTTCTTTTTTTGGGGGCACTGTCGGTGCGTTGTGCCGGCTTTTTGGTGTGATCTGCTCGCGGACTGCAACCTTTTTCGGAGGTGTGGTTTGTGGAGAATGCTGTTTTCCATTGGATGTTGAAGCTTCATTGCCAAGTTCACAAATCATATTGAAGAACTCGTCTTCATTAAGTTGTTTTGTCTTCAACGATTCTGCCTGAAACGATAAAAAGGAGTTGAACACGTCAGATGATTTGGGGGAGACGAGGGAGCATGTACCGGTAAAGTGCTGGGTAACCTGAACAGGGAAGCTAAAACAAGTGAAAACTAAATCAGAATTACGAACAGACGATCAAAGGTAAGGTTGTTACACCACTTTTTCTTTCTTTTTGGACTCACCTTGGCTAGTTTTCCGGGTCCTGCCTCACGGCCAACGACTAAATATTCCGTTTTCTTACCCAAAGTTTTCATAACTTTGCCTCCACAACGTTCGATTAATGCGTGCGCATCATCTCGTTCGATGTACTCCAGGATACCAGTGATGAGAAACGTTTTTCCTTTCAAACAACCAGGCTTGCCCTAGAATAAATTCGAATCGATGAAATAAAATTGTGAAAACAAGTGAAAACAATCCAGAAAAAATGATGGGAAAACACCAATCGTCACAAAAATAACAATTAGCAAGAACCAGATTCAATGTCATACTTTGGGTATTTCCCTTGATCCCAATGCTCGTGGTCCATCTCGTGACTGGTAAGCCCAGAAAGGTACACGGTTGCCAGGCGGATGAGATTCCGATTTTGGTTGCGGTGGCTCCTGTGAAAAATACCGAGAGAAAAAGGGAAACATTAAGTTCAGTAACAAGGAAGTTGAAAAAAGGGTTACATAGTGCATCATCGGGCGTTTCGTTGCATCTGTACAGGTGAACATTCGCAATGACAAACCTAGGCCCGATAATTAGAACCAATGAAGTACAAAGACACCACAACAGTCATACAGCTATACATGGTATTGAGAAAGTTGTTTATGTCGTGCAATACCACTGTACGAGATGCTTTGCTACGAAATTTTGAGACGGGTCATACCCCCTTCCCCCCCNCCCCCCCCCCAAAAAAAAAACAAAGAAAGAAATCAGTCGACAACGCTCATTTCGCATAACACCCAGATTTAGGTGTCGATTTCTACTTTTCGGTCACATGCGAAAACATCGTAGATGACTCTTAGAGAAAAATCCCACTGTTGTTTGAAGCTGGAAAGAAAACGAATTGGACGACAATAAGATATTCGTCAGCATGGGTAATGGCGATTGCGACAGACTTCAGCGACGCACAATGACCAAGGACCAATCAATGTGTTGGATCTAGCGCACATATTTCAGTCAGCTTAAGACGCAGGAATTCAAACACCAGTGAGCAAAAGCATAAGGTCAACCTTTAAACACCAATTGCCGGA